GCAGCAACAGCAGCAGCAGCAGCAGCAGCAACAGCAGCAGCAACAGCAGCAGCAGCAGCAGCAGCAGCAGCAGTATTGGCAAGAGGGTAGATGGTGTGAGATAGTGCTGCTAGGAGAGGGGCTGTATCTATCGTCGTCTTTCTCTTTCTCTCTCTCCACCCCTTCTCTCTCTCTGTCTCTTTATTTATTTATTTATTTATTTATTTATTTATTTATTTATTTTTTTATTTATTTATGTATTTATGTATTTATTTGAAGCAAATAAGCAGCAGCACTGCGGTGTATGTGCAGCAGCAAAATATGAATATCGCTGGGGTGTCTATACACCTCACCGATGGGCGTAATATTTTGCGTTTTTAATTTGCATTTAATAAGAAGAGCCTGAAAAAGAAGTAATTTATATTCTATATCTCTTTTTCTTGTTGCTGTCAGCAGCAGCTGCTGCTGCTGCTGCTGCAGCAGCTGCTGCTGCTGCTGCTGNCTCTTTTTCTTGTTGCTGTCAGCAGCAGCTGCTGCTGCTGCTGCTGCAGCAGCTGCTGCTGCTGCTGCTGCTGCAGCTGCTGCAGCACTTCAGTAATTGCTGCTGTTACTGCAGCACAAACTCGTGCTGCTTCGGCCCATTGTCTCCTCGAACATAAAAGTGAAGACAACTGCCACCAGAATATCCAGTAGGGGGGAGAGAAACGATATTCAAATGCAGCTGCGGTGTATAGACACCTGCTCAGCAGCTGTGCTGCTGTGCTGCTGTAGCCGCTCGCCCCCAAACCCTCACAAAGCCTAGCCACCAGCAACACAGCAGGATAGAGAAACCGCTGCAGCTGCTGCGGCAGTGCAGCAGGAGCAGCAGCAGCTTTTGCTGCACGCCAAGCAGACTGCAGCAGCAGCAAAGAATCTATCCTCTCTAATACAGCAGCACGACGATCAGCATCAACACAACCTCTACGATCATCCCGCTGCTGCAGCCAATGTGCTGCTGCTGCGCATGCATTCAGCAGCACAAACCTGCCTGATGCATGCAGCAAATGCAGGTTTTCAAGTCTGCCGTTGCTGCTGCTGCTGCTGTTGCTGCTGCTGTTGCTGCTGCTTCTGTCGCTCTTATCGAGTGTACTTGAGAAGCTGCTGCTGCGTTCTGCCCCTGCTGCTTTCTGCTGCCTGCTACAAATAGGACAATAACTGCTGCTGCTGCTGCTGCTGCTGCCGCTGCTGCTGCGGTCGGCTGCTGCGCTGTATGTAAACAAGTGGCTGCTTGCTGCGCTCCGCAGCACATCCCGAGCCTCTGGGGCCCGCAGGTGCAGCACAGCCAACGCCAGCTCCGCCAGGCCCAGCCTGAGAAGCCCCAGAGAAAGCTCAACAGCAGCATCGAACACCAAACACAGCGGCAGACGAACAGCAGCCATCGAGTCAAAAGCCGACGCCATATCTTCATATGCTTCCACCTGAAACGAAGGAGAAACTACACAACACAGCTCAGTTGAAATAAAGAACTTTGCTGCTCTCTACACACTGCATGCATGCATCCATGCATGCATGCATGCATGCATGCATGCAACTGTCTGTGTGCTCATCCGTGCGTGCATGCATGCAGCCGCGGCTTCATCAACTCGGTGTGTGCAGAGGTTTCTCTAGGGGACCTCCAGAGCCAGTACAGCCTGCAGCACGGAGAGGCTCACAGAGTGCTGGTGGGAGAGCCTGAGGTGGGGGGGGCCAGACCGCTGCCGCAAGCGGCCACGGACAGACTGAAGGAGGCGCTGCACCTCGCCTGCAGCATCCATCTTCGCTGCTGCTGCTGAGCGGGCAGAACGCAGGATCTGGTGGAGTATGAAGCTCACTGAGGAGAATATAAACAAGAAATAACAGAATCTATGCAATAAATAATTTATTAATGTCGCTAACCGCAGCTTTCCATGCAGATCGTGCGCAGCTCATGGCTGGTTTCATCCGTTTGCAAGAGCGGCGGAAACACGAAAAACAAGGGGATACACCCCGAGGAATTTGGAATCTTCTGTTCTGCATGAACCAAAAAAGAATATTAAAAATAAAATTTAATATATTTTAATAAAAATATAACAGCATGTAAACATTTTTCAATAGTGGGCATTCAGTATTCAGGTCTCGAGGTGTCCGGGCTGCATAAGAGTGCAAGTTGCACGAAAGCTGAAAAAAAGAGCTTTACTACATCCTCTTGGACTTTTTGAGTTTCTAATTATGCAGCACTAATAAATTTAAACTTTTATTTTATAAATTATTTTTAAAAAATTCATAAAAACACACAGAGGAGCCGCCACACCACCAAGCGCCGCCGGATCCAACACAGACCTGAACGGGCAACCACAGGAAAGCTGAAACAGGCTCGATGAAAAAGT